AATTCTATAATTTTATGACCTTTAGAGAGAGGACTCTGCATTTGCAACTGCCTCAGCTGGCACTGAGACTTCTTTTTTGACCACAGGATCTCCTGGCAAGCAATTATTATTGGATTGGACTGAGAAAACGGTTTAGCCAACCCTGGACTTGGGTCGATGGCTCAAGGTATGAAGGGTAAGTCTCAGAGAAGAGCTGTGCAGATGGGTCCGGGCTGGTGGGCAGAGGATGGGCAGAGCTACAGTGCATCCACCGCCAGAACCAGGCCCTCAAGACCCCTCCCATTCTATGGTGCATGAGGAACACTCTCTCAGCCTTAGAGGAAACTCCCTCTGGATTCCTTGGCCACCAGAAGCAACTTGCTCTTGACCAACTTGAGGATTTCCACCATTTTCAACAAGACAATGGGCAATGGCTGGCAACCATTTCTTTAGAAGCACTTTGGCTGCCACATTCAGCTTGGGCGCTTGCATGTGTGTAGGAAGCATTTTGTGGCGAGAAGACAGGAGGTGGGTGCCCGGCTTTGGTTTCTGTTTGTTTGTTTGTTTGGTTTTTCATGATTTTTCTCTTCCTACTTCCAGGAAGGAGCTTGCAAGTTATGATACTTGTGCCTACCTCAACAACGGTGAACCAAAGCCCTACGGTTGCACCTATCCCTTGGCTTACATTTGTGAGAAGATAAAGAGCACACAGTGAGCCCCACTTCAGGGCCGAGGGGTCAGAAGGCAGCCCCTTTGCCCACCCCACCCTCCCCAGAGGTCCCTCCACAGTTTCGAAGGCACCGACCCTCCGATCACTCTGCAAAATCCCCGGTGTTTCAGCCGGAGAGAAGAAATGTTGAGCTGATGCTTCAACAGACAGGCAAGATCCTTGCATGGCCAGCTTGGAGTTTGCAAGCGTGCCCAAAGGAATCTCAGGCAACGCTGGTGGCGCGGCTTCCCCACAGAATGGCCATCAAGCACTCTGGATCTGCAGGATCTGGGAGGGGTCCAAGGAAGGAAGACCCAACTGGCCAAAGGCCTGGAAGCCATGAATCATCCCTCTGAGGAGCGGCTGCAGAAGAGAAGGCTGAGAAAAGGAGACATGGGGGATG